AATGTGTCTATTACTTTAATTATGATATGTATATAATTTTATTAAACTCGAATTTAATTATGATATTTTTATGTCAATGTGCTTATGAGTAGTCTTTCTTATGTAACGTAAACATCGAATGGAAATATTTTCCTATTCTTATTCTACACACATTTTGTGCAAATCAATTGAAAAATATTAAATGAATAATTACCATTGAAAATTATAACTAATAGAATCATAGGAATACAAGATAGGTCGCATTAGTTTTCATTATGTTAAAAAAAATGAAAACTTAATTATATAATCACCTCCTTACACATAAGGATGTCAACAAGTCGAGCCGACTTGCGAGCCAAAACTCGAGACTCAGGCACCGCTTGAGTAGAAATGGGTTGAGATTTTTTTGATTCAAGTCTGAACATTTTTTCGATTAAAAAATCTAGGCTCGGCTTGAGTCAAGCCGACTCATGACCTTTTTTTTTTACTTATAGCCTGTAGGCCTATCTCAAGCTCCTTGAGCCACACATACATGCTTGGACTCGGGCCGACGTCCGAAAATGGGACTCAGTAAAATTGGGCCGACTCGAGCTTTTTCCGGGCCAAGCCATGGGTCGCACAAGCCAGACATTCAAATTGACATCCCTATATCCACTGCCCCAATGCGTGCTACTGTTGCCCAGTTACCTCTTCGTGTTCCCCTCATATTCGTTAGCACCTTCCTTTGTACATATGTAATAAAAAATTATGAATGGATTTGGAAATCTTGATTTTGTATGTGATTGTGCTATAGACCTAAGGAGCTAATGGGAGAAACCACATCGAATTTTTGATTATGTAATAATTTGCACACGAACTTTTTATTTTTTGTTTACTCTTATCCATTAAACGCAAACTAAGCTATTTACTGTAGATGGGCACGCTGATATTTAATGATAAAGAATAATGCAAAATGTACATGCTATAGTTTACATCTTTTTTGATATTCTTTGTGCTTTCAAAAAGAATTGGATGGGAATTTTTTTTTTTTCAAACTTGCGAATGGTGTATTGCCACATGGCACAATGCAAATAAAGATTTTAAAAAATGATGTAAATGTAGCATGGTTGAATAATAAATATGTTATTTTCTCTCTTTTTGAAATGGTATGATATTTTTTCAGTTATATGAAAATTACTCGCAAATTCATAATCAATTGCACAATAATGCTGCTTGGTTAGAGTGATTGACTTTTAATTGGGTGATAGGTTGGGATAGCAACAATTGATTGTGTATTTTTTTTTTTTCAACCATCAAATCATATATCGATGCGTGTCTCCCTATTTTTTAACGTGTCATTGAGCCTGTTTGTATAGCATAAGTTCTTATTTCCTAAGTCCTAACCATCACACAAAAGAAATTGAAGTCACAAAAATATTGGCAAAATACTGAAGTCACTAATAGGGCCAAATGGTACTAACACGAGTTGTAGACTAATGGATTAATTAAACAATAATTGTATTTTAAACGTGTTTTTAAAATAACCGTAGACATTTAAAAAAAAAGATGAGTTGGGTCTCTTTCAAATAATTAGCCCACTCAAGTCTATTATAATTCAATTATGCTATATGTACATCATTTTTTACATTATTGTTTACATTGTGTCACGTGACAACACATCATTAGATAATTTTTTTTTTTAAAAAAAAAACTTCTTTTTACATACAATTTTTTAAAAACATGAGTGACATCAACAAAAGAGTACATCAAAGAATATGCACTTAACATTATTGATTATAACTAGGGCAACTTACAAAAATTCCCCTAAAATTAGGAATATCTTGAAAAATCATATAAAGAGTGTTTTATAAATAAAAAATACCGTGTAAAAATTAGCCCTTGTTTGAGCCCCATTTTGTCAAATTTTTTTTTAAAAAAAACTCATTTTCAACCTTATTCCTCAATGAAGTAATTTTGCACGTGAATCGAAAATTTTTCCTTTTAACTATATATTCTTCTAAAATCATTATTGTAAAATGAATTTTTTTTTAGAACGAGGATCAAACAAGGGCTAAGTGTCACTTATTTTTTAAAAAATGTAAAACAATTTTTTAAAATCAAGTGTCACTTTTTATTAAAAAAAAATAACATACAAGTTTGGTGGAACATATAGGATTGAAAAGTTAAAAGATTTTCCTAAAATTAAGAAATTGTTTTTGAATATGTTTTTATTACTTTTAAAAGTACTTTGTTTGGTTAAAACAAAGATATTTCTTGTGTGATTGTTAACGTGGGGTCCATGGGGCGATGTTTTCAATTATGCTATTTATTCAAACAAAAATGGTTGATAATATTTGTGTTGTCAAAAATATGGCTATTGATTTTAAAAAAATAATTTTTAAAATTGATGAATGTTATGTTATCAAGTATGAATTATTAATCAATATTATCAAACTAAATTGTACATGTAGCATGATTCCGATGTTTTTTAGTGTCAATCACATCACAACACGTAGGTGTAATGTCGCTTGCTCCTTTTTCGTTATTATCACATCTATCTAAATTAATTTCATAATATTACATTTAATGTTCGGTTAATGTAATTATATTCATCTTTACAATCAATGTGCCTATTACTTTAATTATGACGGGTATATAATTTTATTAAACTCGAATCTAATTATAATATATTTATGTTAACATGTGCTTTTGAGTAATTGGTTGAGCTTTTTTTTTTTGGTTCGGACAGAGCTGAACTTTTGTTCGATAAAAATTCTAGGCTCGACCTGTGCCGAGCTGGCTCATGACCTTTTTTATTTTTTTACTTATAGCCTGTAGGCCCGCCACAAGTTGCCTGAGCCACACGGACAGGCTCGAAATCGGCCGACGTTCATAATGGGACTCAGTAAAATTGAGTCCACTCGAACTTTTTTTGGGCTGAGCCATGGTTCGCACAAGCCAGCCACTCAAATTGACACCCCTATATTCACTGCCCCAATGCGTGCTGCAGCTGCCGAGTTAGCTCTTCTTGTTCCACTCATATTCTTCAGCACCTTCCTTCCTTCGTATTTATGTGATTGAAAATTATGAATGGGTTTTGGAAATCTTGCTACAGACCTAAGGAACTAATAATCAAGGGGCTCCAATTGGCTTTCTTCCAATTTTAACAGTAAATTAAAATGACACTAAAAATAATTATTATACCTAATGAAGTAGTACAAGGATGAAAAAATTGTTTTGTCGACTCCCAAAGTTGTGAATTTTATCTATTCATCATATTTCACAAAAGCGATTACTCACATATTTCTGCGTACGAAAAAACATCTTTTCTCCTTACAAAGATATAAGAAAAGCTTTGGAAACCAGTGCAAAAAAATCCTTAAGTTGAGCAAATATTAAGTTCTCTATATACAAAGAAATAGGGGTATGGGGATTCAATTCAATTAGGACCCCAACAGCTCAAATACATAACTGTTCTCAGTGATTCCTCAGATTTCTTCGACTTCTGATCTTCCTTCATCTTTTTACATATAACTGTTGAAGAGGGTACTGCAGGGAGTCTTCTCTTAGTCTGAGTGTATGATCTGAGGCTGTTCTTGGCATGTTGTTGCAGTAGCCTCATTGAATAATTCCATCTACAGAATCCTTGATCTTTCAATGCCTCAACAGCACCTATGCTTACTCCCACTAACCAAGCCCTGCTTGTGGAACTCATTTTCAGCTTCTTCTTTTGTACAGATTCAGTGTTTGTTGTCAATGGATATGAATGGTGATGAAGAATAATGGGGAGAATATGAGGTGTTTATAAAAGAAACTGTAGCAGGTTTTGCCAGCAGAAAAGGAAAAGCCCCCAGTTTTAGCCTTTTAGGTAGTAGTATTATATTATATCTATGTGCATCAGGGATTGTGCCAATGAATTTAGACCAATTGGGGGAGAAAGCAGATGCGTACCAACTCACATCATAATGATCATATGCCACTTGCATATTTTATAAGTGAATTTTTTTTTTTTGCCAGAATAAAGCAACAGAGTAATATTTAAATATCACGTCAAATCAGAATAATTTTTTGAACGATTTTAACCCTATTACAATTCAATTATTTCAATAATATATTACTTTTCATTTTTCAATATATAATAGTTACTATAAAATTCTTGTCATATATGAATTCAGTGTTATTAATTTTCAATTAATTAACATTCACATTAATTTAGATTCAATGAATCTTGATCTACATGAATCTAAAGTTATTATAAATGAAATTATTTATATTCATATATCTAGCAATTTTAATGGAGGTTTAAATTCAAGTATTAACAATTAATTCGTTTGAGATTTATCAAAATCTGCAAATATATTGGTATCAAATATTATTTTTACAATATTTATAAAATATTTTAAAATAACGTACAATACACGTTCAACCTGACAAAAACAAACATACGAGGACTAAAAACACAAAAAAAATTGTCGTAGTTTGACGGACAGATACTTTTGATGTATGATAATTCATTAGTCGCCGCCACTAAACCGAATTGAAGGAGGAGGTAGGTGGAACTTCACTCTGCTGTTGGTAGGTGGATCGGTATTACTATTACAATTGTCTATTAAGTCCCTGTTTTAAGCTCGTTCTCTAAAAATTTATTTTAAATCACATACTTTTTAAATAAAATAATTTTACATATGAATTTAATTTTTTACCACACATTTTTTTTTTTTTTAAATCACTATTATAAAATTCATTTTTCATATATTTTTTTTTTGAAAAAATGAGTTTTGTAATACTATTTTTTTGAAAACTATGTGGTTAAAAAGTAGGAAATAATTTTGAATATACGTGTGAAATTATTTTATTTGAAGAATATTTGGCTGAAAACGAGTTCGAAAAAAACGCTTGAGGGGTAGATTTGCAAAAGAGCAAATTGCTCTTGCTAAAGTTTAGTTATGAATAAGTGACGAAGCGAAGCGTGAAACTTCTTGTTCATATTTCAAATTCCAACAGCTCCTATTGTAACTAACACAAACAATCCAAAGGAAGATATGGAGAATTGGGGGAGTTTGAGTCACCTGTTCGTTACAGTGTTCCTCTCAAATGTAGCGAGCTTAATGGTGAATCCGGCCATCACTGACGTTACAATGGCGGCAGTGTGTCCTGGTAAAGACGAGTGTTCACTTGCTATTTACCTCACCGGCCTCCAACAAGCGGTACATATTCCCTTCATTCCTATCTTCATATTCACCTTTCTTTAATTCAATCTACTGCAATCTACTGTGATTATTAGTACTTTCATTATTGATTTCCAATTTCGGAAGCAACTTAGTGCAATTATTATATTTTGAATCAGAAGGTCTCAAAATCTCTCAATTATTATATTGCCGGCATAAGGATATAATTTGGTGTACATGCAGAAATCGTAATTTCTTTATCTACTTTTCCTTTGTTGTATTGTGTGTGTCAAGGAGTTAATTTCAAACAAGCTATCAGAGTATACGGCAATTCTTTATGCATTCCGGGAACTGGATGGATTGCTGTTTTTCTCTCCTTTTCTTCCCTAACTGAAAATGAATTGTAAACTGTTTGCTTGCATGTTTTCCCGTGTGGAAGGACTTGTTTTCTTTGTCTAACACCCCCCCCCCCCCCCCCCCCCCCCC